AAAAATAGGGATTTCAGCAGATTTCACACTATATGAAAAAATTCAACTGGGTCTCAAAGCAAACCTTCAAAGTGAAAAAAAACTCTACCAGACCTCTGTCAGACAGACTAATAAAATGAACGTATAAAGGTTACATGTTACATTCTTAATTATTTAGTCTTGTAACTATACTGAAAAATCAAATACAAGGTACTTCGGACAAAAATACCAGTGCACTGAAAACCAAAATTATAACTGGCATGCGGGTCCTCAAAAACTGGGAGGAGATTTAGAGAATCAACCCGGACAGAGGAATCAAAACTGGATTTTATTTGTCAACAACGTTTATTGTCTTAAAGAAGGAATAAGCAGAGCGCCAAATAAGAAACTGCTGGAAATGACCTATACACAGAAGAAAAATATCCACCATGGGAACTACTACAAGAGGTCTCAACAATTAAAAGTAACCTGGTACCCATGGGAATTTCAGGCTACATTCTTGTAAATTTATTTTGAGAATCGCCAGATTGCTTTAGGGAGTTTGTTTTCTTCCCCTCTTGAATAAATATGCAACTAAATTTGTATTTTCATCTCTAGGAAAAAAAAAATAACAGGACTTGCAGAATTTGCTGAGCACCACCAGTTCTTTGAAGATGATGGCAGGTGGCAAATATTTAGCATTTCTGAGGATTAAGAGTTGCAATACAGATTCTTTTATATTCTCTCTGGATTTACAAAAATCTTGGGCAATGTCTTGCCAACATGGACAATACTTCCCAAGACAACAGGAAAAGGCACTTATGACAGAAAAGAAATGCCAAAAAGATTTTTGTTGTTGTTCTGTGGATTTTTAAAATTTTCTTACTCTGACTGTAGCCTACAAGGGGAGAGGGAATGGAAAACGTGCTGTAAAGTGTGCAGTAAAACACTAGAAGAAGTCTAGTCCTTAAAGTCTGGAAGTACAGAGATCATCACAGAGATAATTTCACACTTCTCATTTAGTCACGCAGATGCTTTGTCTGTAGTATACAAAGAAAAGATAATTCCTTTTCCCCTCAAAAATATCTTACTGCTTTGGAAACACATCCCTTTCACCCCACTCTAACTTGGATCACCAATTTCAATCAACTTGCAAATGATTACACCTAGTCCAGGCAACACAAAGTCAAGCTCAATGTTTTGTTAGCAGCTTGCTAACCATGTTCCTTACTGCCTCTAAAAGTAAGACTAAACTCCCACACTGGAAGGCTGAGCCTTGCTCGCCTTAACACAGCATGGGAAGGGAGGAGTACAGCACCTGGAGCATGGGTGTGGCAGTGGGGACTGCATGCCTCTGCAAGGATAACAAACAGACAAGGGCATCAAACGCCGTCCAAGTGCAACGTCCTTATTGTCATTACAAAGCTTCATTACACTGGCAGCCTGCGGTTCACCCTATTTCATGAGGATCCCATGGTGCCCTGACACCAGGAAATCTGTCGTTCAGCTCTGAAACCTCACACACTACCCCTCCTCCCCGTTCTCCGACCCCCTCCTGTGGAAATTTAAGGCTATTTCAGCTGCAGATTTTTTTTTTTCCCTCAGAGGGTTAATGACAGAATATTCTGCATTGGAAAGGATACAAAAGGATCATTGACTCCAACTGTTAAGTGAACGGCCCACAACAGAGATCAAACCCGCAATTTTGGCATTATTAGCACCATGCTCTAACCAACGGAGCTTATCTCAGAGAACTGAAAGAGAATAAACTCCACCCCAAAGACACGAGGAGTCCCAAAGGACGACAAGCTGCACGCTCTTCTCCCCCAGCCATCCCTCCTCCGCTGGCCAGGTACAAAGGGCACCTAAGCTGTGCCAGCAAAGCCTACTTTAAAAAGTAAGCCTGCCTGCTCTGCAGGAAGACCCCGGAGCAGTTGACATTCCCCTACCCTAAGGAAGAATGGCAGGTGGCTGTCAAAGCAGGCAGGTCCATCATACAGCTCTTGCCAGGACTTACTGCGTTTAACCACGGCCAGCAGCTGACAGGGAGGACAGCATGAATGAAATCTTCAGACAACTAGGAGCTCATGGAACTCGCAACCTGGAAGCCTCTAGTAATTCTTTTTCCTCTTTTTTTTTTTTTTTTCAGTTCTGAAGGCATGTGACCGGCCCTCACATACCAGAGCTGACCCCTCCCAAAGCCAGCAATTTCCTAAGAGCGGAGAAGGATGTTACCCTCCCGCTAATTCATTAGGAGGCCAGGTTTCCTCGTACTTTTGCATCAAAACCTGCAAAGTGACACTTTGGGTCACTCTGGACAGGTGCAGAAGGGGCTGTGGTGCCCAGCTAACAGGAGGGCATGACCACAGGGAGCCCCGGCTCCTCTTTTCCCAACTGGCACACGGCTTTCATTTTCCAGGTGAAAAACCACCGGCTCTTTGCCCTCAAGTGAGCCGTTCCCTTCTGTTTTGGGCCAGAAAGAACTGCTCGTGTTTCACACCGCTCCCCCACTAACTAGTGCTGGAAGCATGCTCCCTGCCCAGTCACTTTTTGTATCACCGAAACACCACGGCACAGAGCACTGCTGAGATTTTGCTTTCGGTTTTTTGCTCCCTCGGGTTGGCAGCAGCGTTTCCGGAAGAGGGGAGGGGGTCTCATGCTCCTTGCTGTCCCGCACTGCCACACTACGCTGCTCTGCTCCCAAATCCCCACCGCTTCCCTTTGCCACATGCCCACAGCAGCCCCCACCCGCAGGGAGGGGCTTCTCCCGCCGCTCTCCCTCAGGCAGGGGCGGCGGGAGCGGGGAGCCCCGGCCGGGCGGAGCGCACGGAGCCCCGGCCGGGCAGAGCGCACGGAGCCCCGGCCGGGCACGGCGGGCCGGAGGGCTCGCCGCCCCCCACCCTGCTCCTACGGCAGGGCTGGACCACTGCGGAGGGAGCCCCCGCTGCAGGGAATTGCATGAGGGGAGGGAAATCCGCCAGAGGAATTGCAGCACTAAGCACAACCGCAGGCTCACGCACCGTAGGGAACGAGAGCTTCGGCAGCCGGCACAGAGGTGCCATGCACACATCGCACTAGGATTGCTTCAGGCAATACAACCGCGCGTTCCAACTGCCTGAGCCGCAAGGGCTCGGGAGGCTGTTGCTGGTTCAGCTGAGCATCACCGTGACACACCGCCTTGACCCCTCTGCGATAAACCGGCCCCAGCACGCACACACTGCTTCTCACCCTAATCCTAACACCGCCATTCCCCACTGGCTCCAACAAAGTAGTACTCACGACCTGTCAGTCGCCTGTCAGTCACCACACAACATACACGCCTAGTGCAATACAACATGATACTGGAATACCGAAGGAGGAGGGTGGTGTTAGCTGTAAGATTATTGTTGCGAGGATTACTCTGTTGGGTATACTCCTGGCTACACATCCTGCCGTGGTGACATTCTCTACTGGCATCTACCTTAGGTGAGCCCTTGAGGCTTATCCCTGACAAACCAGAATCACTCTTTCTTTTTTCTTTTCTTCTAATTAAGTGAGGAAAAAATATTCAAATATCTACTGCTAATTTATCAGTATGGATGCAAATCTAAACTAAAATTAATTCCAAGTTAAATCTACATTAGACAGACACCGAATGTGACTCATCTAAGCATACCTTGTCTTTGTCATAATTTTTGTCCTGATGAGCCTTACTTGACAGTATCCTTTAAATACTAGTTGTTGCAACTATGGGGTAGCAGAATCTAGATCTGAATGTGCTGCTTGTTCTCTGATGTCCAGTTTTATGTCAGCCTTTGGTTTTGCTATAAGTAAGGAGCTGCCAGTCTTAGGACTGACCTCAGTTTCTGGCTCCATACAGGTTATTGCAGATTAGCAGTCACTTATTGCCTACTGGCAGACACCATGCATGCACAACATTTAAACATCGTTTTTACTGTATGATTAAGGGAAAAATATTTTAAACTCTAATGTCCTTCTGCCTGCTGTTTTAAGAGCAAACTGTACCTTAATCCATGAAGTTAGCAAAACTACTTCTGCTCAAAGGACTTCTTTCATTTTAGCACAAAAGAAATAAAACAGATAAAAGATCTCCCACCCTTACTCCCAGAAAAGTTCTAAGTAGACTAGTTCCATCTATGGGAATAGTCCTAGGCCTCTTAGATAACATCCTGTCCCTGGAGGATGAAGACCAGAGGCATCTTTGTCACTCAAAAGGTCCTTCACCACTTTGCAGGTGTGTTGCACCCTCACCACTCTGCTTTTAATTCAACCTCCTACTTTGTCTGTGTCTGCCTTTCACTGTCCCCACTCTCCTTGACAGCACACTGTAAGAAAAGTTTGCACAGAGTGATTTTCTACAATTGTACAGTATTTTCTGACCAATCAGCCTAGTTGTTGCTTCTCACATGACTCTTTCTTTTAATAGGCTTTCTCACCTCTCCTTTTACTTAATCATAAATTATTAACATTTTTGTAATGTTAATACAAAACTTCCTCTTTCATGAAGTGCACAAATGAAAGAAGCTAACCTGTGAATGTGGTGAGAGCAAAATCTCATCCCAGCAGAAGTAATGTTCTAAACTCCCACTGGCCTTAAGAGAGGAACTACTGTGCCCAAAGGCACATGTTTAACATCCAGATCACAAACTGCATTTGGACAACTCATTTATGTCCACAAAGCGTTACCGCTCCTAAAGTTGCTGCCAAAAAATTCAGGTAGGAACTGTAGCTGAGCAAGGTTCATTTGGAACCAATAAGTAACTCCTCCAGAGACAGATCCCAGAGATGTGATAATACCAGACAGACTTTTATCAACACATCAGCATTACCTAATAAACCTTCATAATGTAAATTTGCACTCTTCTTATGAATGGCAGGTTTGGATGGCTCATTTCTCTATTGCAGTCACCCTGGAAATTATTCTCTCTAGAAAATTAGAAGTGTTAAAAGAGGCAAAACTACACTCTCTGACAGTACACTGAAGTAAAGAGAGGTTGGGGAAAAATCAGCAGGCACACAGAAAGCTCATCCACTACTTTTACCTTTCCAGATGAGGGACTTCTGTGACATCTCCTTTGAAGAGTGTTTCGCTTGCATCCCTTAAGCCATTGGCAATGCCTTCACCACATCCCTTCACCTCCCTGTCAGGCACATCTGTCTGCCCCACGGCTGATGTCCTATCTAAAAACTGTCCACCCTCCTTCATGCGCTGCTGGATCATGGGAGTGAGTGGTATCTCAAAGCTGAAGTAGCTATCAGGCTCCGAGTACAATGTGTCCAGAGATTCCGCACTGTAGTACAAAGATGCATTGTCTAGGATGTTTTCAAACTGCGAGCTGTACAGATCAGTGGAGATGTCAGAGTGCCTCTGCCCAAGGAAATCTTCGTATCCTCCTGTGGCGGCTTCCCCCTCCTCAACCATCCTGAAAATTAATCAGAAACAGCTCATTTCAGTCTTGGGGCAAGGTTCAAACTTTGGGAAATCCTTCTCACCCTTCCACTTTTCTGAGCAGAAAGGTTAACACAGCTTTATGCAAGAGAGGGCACTGCAGGTAAAATGCTGGTTTTTCCTTGCACTACCTCTCTTTATGACCAGCATCATTTCCCTCTCCAGGGACATAGAAAGAAACAATTTTCTGGGTAAAAGAAGAGGGCTGGGAGACATCCTAATATTGTCTAACAGATCAGCTGCTTACATGCAAAAGAGAAAAGCACAGTGTGCAAGATCTATCCTAGCACCAGTGCCAAGCCAGAGGCTGCACATGCTGGAAATGCGTATCCAGATGGAGCCACTGCCCCTGAAGGATAATTAGCCATCTCTGCAGTCCTAGGACTGGGGTCTTCAGCAAAAAGCTGAAGGAAATGACTCCAAAATGCAAAGGGAAGCACGTGCAATTAAAAATGTAGAGCCTGGGGAAACAGATTTGAAGGGAGAAGACTCAGCCTGCTTGCTAATGCATGGAAAGGTATACCATTCCCCTGAAGAGTTTTCTTCTCTGCTGCACCAAATACTGTGGGGCTCCTCAACATGCCAGAGGTTTAGGGTAGCCAGCCCAAGTAATCCCATGCACTAGCCAAAGCAAAACTCCACAGATACAAAGGTGCAGAGGCAGGAAAGCCTCCCTTGCAGAGATGTTGTCTCAGCAGCACACACCTCTCCAGGTCAAAGTGGGCATGATTTGCTCAGAGCGTACCAGAGGAACCCTTTGTTTTGTAAGAGATGTGCATCAGAAAAGAAAAGCAAGCAAATCAGGATGCAAAGCAGCATGCCATTCTTGCAATATGTAATGCTAAAATGATACAAAGATAGATAGATAAATAGATAGATAGATAGATAGATAGATAATACAGAAAGCACATATTGTAGCATTTATCCTCCTATGATCTACATGGCCTTAATGTCTTTATTATCCAACCATTCAGAGGTTGTCACAGTTTTTGCACAAACCCTGAATGAAACCAGAAAATCTGTTCAGGTGCGTATGGCCAGGCCTGCATGCCAACTATATTTAATTACACGGTGTCCTGGTTTAGCGCAAATTTGGGAGAAAACCTCCAAAAAGGGCTCTCCCCCAGAAAGCAAACCCACATGGCCCCTCCCCTCAATCAGTTCAGGAAGAATTTCCCCTGAGAGAGGTGGAAAAAACCTGTTTATTTAACAGGCAAAGCACTCCCCAGCACACAAAATGAACAACACCAGGGGACAAAACTCATTTCTGACTCTGAAGAGATGACAGATTCAGAGAAAGTCTCTGCAGTGCATGGTCACTGTTATCAGTCCCTCCAGCCCTGGGGAAGGCTGCTGCCCACAGAAGGTCCTGGTGGGCCACAGAGTGAGAGCTCTCCGTGTTTCCCCAGCCCCAGTCCGGAGCAGGTTCAAATGGATCCAAAAAAGGGAAAGAAAACCAGTCCAGGGAAATTTGGGCTGCCTCAGCTCGCTGAATGAGCTAAAAAGCAAAGGAGAGCGGTGTTCTGCCCCGTCTGTGCCCGGAGAGCACAGTGGAGTTCTGTGTCCAGCAGAGTGTGGAGAAGTGTGTGCAGGCTGAAAACAAACTGTGTGCTTCTTCTTCTCCCCACCTTCGCTCTCAGAGCCAGTCTTGAAGGCACAGAATAGAATATCCAGCATAAACAGATCACACTACTGGGGATATGAGCATCATAACATCACTCTAGGACACATGGCATGTCCAGATCCCAATTACACCTGCTACAGATGCTTCATCACATGGACATCACTGTGCAAACAGCAAGACTTCTGATCTTTACATTTCAAAACCTGAGATGGACTGCAAACTTCAGTAAGATGATGTGAAGCGGCTTCAGTACCAAATTCAGGCATTAGCCAACCAGCAGCTATGTATACCCGTACTGTAAACACCACACCACAGGCAGCAGACAAATATTTGCTGCTTCTTTTTAGGTAAGTACAAGCCACACGCCTAGACAAGAGAACCCCAGCCTCACCCCTGCTACCCTCTTAGCACCAGCTCACCTGTCCCGGCTGCTTGAAAGCACAGCCATCTCCTCCTCACCACAGTTCTTCCTGTCCTTCATAGAAACTTCATCCTTCCCGCTTTCTTCAAGCAGTGGTAGAGGAGTGGCTCCAGAGGCAGCGGGTTCCAGCCTTGGGTCTTCACAGACCTCACTCCAGGCACTGTCTGGCAAGGAAGGCAAGCCTGGGGAGACCATTGGTGACACAGGGTGGCTGGGTATTTTGGGGAATGCCTTCCTCTCCACAGACACAGAGTCCAGCAGTGAGTGCTTCTTTCTTTGCTGCTCCTCAGCTTTTTGCAGCCATAAGATCTCCACACCTTGAAATTCTACATGTTTACTCACAGCTGCCTCTTTAGCAAGCCTTCTCTCAGTACCTGTTTGCATTTTGCCTTGACTGTACTCTGAAAACTCCTCAAAACGTGTCCCCCTCTCCACTCTGCTGACTGCTTCCAGGTTTGCCACAGATGGCTTGTGACAGCTTGGTTCCTGAGCTGTGTGGACCTCCTCTGCTTTATTTCTTATGCCTTGTGAGGATTCAGACTGCTTTTCTCCAGTCCGTACTGAAGCCAGATCTTTCTCTATGATCAAATGCTTTTTTTCCTCAGCTGTTCGTTCAGATGGAAGAAGCATGTCTGAGAGCTTTTCTTGGCCTGCTGGAACTGGTTCTCTGGCTGCCTGCACATTTTGGCTGCCAGTAACACTCTTTTTTTCCATTTGAGTCTCTGAATCCAGAGAAGTATTTGCTCTTTCTTGCACCTTTGCTGCTTCTAACCGTCGAGAGATTTTCATACTCTCTGGCGGATTACTGGTGGGTTGCAAACCTCCTTCTGGGGTGTGAAGCTGCACTGCCCCTGCATCAGGCCTCAGATGATCAGCAGGAGCTGCGCACTGAGGAACAGGCCTGGCATGGTGGTGACTGTCCCGTCTTTCCGGACTGCGTGTCACGGGCTCGGCCGGGCACGTCAGTGGAGACGATGGTGTTTGTCTGCTCGACTCTGCAGTGCCGTACTCTGGAAATTCATTGATGATGGTATGAGGAGGCAAACTGCTGCTTCCACGGCCACTACCTGCAAAATAAAAGGAGAGAGACCCTGGGTTTATCTACCACAGGCACAAAGCAAAAAGTCTGATCTCTCTCCTGCTCCTAACAGAGTAACAGTGCTCTCCCCAGCAGGGAAAATACTTCAGTTTTACTCGCTTCTGCTTTCACACTGCAGTTATCCAAAGCTGGTCCTTTTACACGGGAGTTTTTGGGCGGCCCTGCTTTGGGAGTCTGCACTACAGAGGAAGGAATGCCAGAAATGTCTGCTGCACTTCAGCAAAGGTCCAATGGCACGGGAACAGTCTGAGGCCTCAGGCCAGGCCACAGGCCTAAGAAAGCAGAGATTCAGATGTCTAACATCCACAGCATGCACAACCCGTGATGGTTTTACTTTAAAAAACCACTACAGATGATGGTTTTACGTTTGCAGGTAATTTCCACTTGTAAAGGTGAAACACTGGGAAGATAATCAGCCACACCCGTTATGTTCTACAGCCTTGACGAAACTAATTAGCTAAATTACAAAGTAATTAATGAGCAATTCAACTTTCTGCCAGCACTACCCTCTTCCTTTAACAACTCAGGTAGCTGAAGGTCACGTTGCAGTGATGGATGCATACCATGCAATTCACATTTTATACGGCAGCAAATAGCTGCTGCAGAAAAACCTTGCTACCCCTCCCTTCCTTGTGCTTTTCCAACTGATGTGAACAAGGAGTAAAAATGGGTGGTCCCATTTTCCAAGCGTCAAGCACCCAGTGGCTCCCATTGTTTCGAGGTAACAGAGAACCATCTGTCCGAAGGGACCTCAGCCATCACATGACAGATAATTGGCCACCTTATATCACAGCCCAAGGAGGAACTGAGCTTTTGGGGGGAAAAAACCCCCAAAACAACAATTAAAAAGCCAACCATCAACAGCTGCATTTGTCCTACTCCTTTATGAAAGAAAGAAAAAAACTAACTCCTTGCTTCTTGGAGTATAAAAGTGTATAAAAGTATAAAAGGCTTGGAGTATAAAAGTGTTTCAAATCAAACTGCAGGGTGGCCAGACCTAAACACCTACTTTGAAAAGCATCAGGGGCGAGAGCTCTGAAACCAAACACCGACTTGAATTTGAATGGTTTGGTCCCAAGGTGCATCTCTAGGTGCTGCATTGAAAACTGATCCCCATCTCTGCTCCAAGCAGGCCAGCCACGGTCTCTTTCTGAGCAGAAGCCACGTAGCTGTGGTTAATGATAGGCTGAGTTCAAAGTGAAAGAGAGGATAATCTAACACAGGTTCAGAACGGCATTAATATGGCTACCTATATGCCAGTGGCTTGTTAAGGTAAGCAGAAGCTCACACCTGCCAGTATATCCCAGTATATCTAGCCACAGGGAAAATACCACACACTGGGCGTGGTGCAGGATCAAAGTGACAATTTTGGACCCTGCCAAGCCTCAGAATCTTCCCCAGTGGGTTCTCCAAACGTCTCCATGCCACTGACTTAATCACAGTTCATCCAGACTATTTGGTTGCTGTTCAGGACAGTGACTAGACAAAGCAGGGACCTTTTCTCTGCTGCAAGGTCCCAGGGAAATATAAGGAGCAAGGGTGCCCTGTCCACAATTGCATCACCAGCCCATCTTCATGGCAAGGTTTCCAAAACACAGGTGTGGGTGCACCCACAGTGCTTTTTCCTAAGTGTCTGAAGCAGCAAACATGCCCCTTTGCACACAACTCAGCCAACCAAGCACTTGCATGCACCTCAAGCCCATAGTTTTCATGGCACAAGCTGCCACTGTGGGACACTTCCACCAGGACAGACTCACATATGACAGCGATGCTCTGTGGTTATAATGTCCCTACACCTGCACCAGAACAACCCCAGGCAACAAACTCCAAGCTGCTTTCCCATCCCACAGTCCTTCTCTAATGCCAAAGCTTTAGTGCTCGCTGCTCTCTCAGAACAGTCTAGAGGAGGGGTTTCTTAGGAGAGGACTAATAGGGAACATGTCACTATAGATGCTAACATAAACCCTTCCTGGTGGACACATCCAGCCACAGCACTGTGGGACAGCACTTGGCCAGGTCACACTCTCTGGCTGCACTGCATGAAGAAAGGGAATACACAGTGCCCCAAGAGCTGGGACCCCCCATGCCTCACTCCAACCCACACATCCCGCCTTGTTGGAAGGAAGCCTGGAGCTCAGCCCTGGCCTCCTGTGGGGCTGGGAGGCAGCCAACATGCTCTGGAGGCCAAGCCCTAACAAGGCACCGCACACAGATCCTGCCAAGGGGCCAGGCTCGTCTCTGCTAATTGCTATCTTAGCTTCTGAACCAACACCAGGGAAACAGAGGGGGCCTTATTTCTTGTGGTGAATGCTAAACGCTCTGCTGCGCGTCCCTATCTGCCACCGACAGCCACTGCTGATGGTGGAAAGAAATCCTGAGCAAGTTTCTGATTTACTTCTCCTCCTGAACTTCATAGTCTGGCAAGCCCATCAGACTCCAGAAAAGTTACAGATACAGAGCACATACCTGCACATGCAGGCACAGAGAGGTGTCCAAAGAGAGGGAGAGTGCTTACATGTATTCCCCTCTGCCACACCTGCAAGCTGTGCACCATCTGGGCAAGAGAGGAGCGCTATCACAGTAGAAATGTAAGGCCTTTTCTGAAGTGAGACGTCAGCAGCTCTCCTCTGGACAGACTACTGCTGCTGCTGCCGCTGCTGTATGCAAGCACAAGTCAGCGGGATTCTTGCCTTCATGCAGGAATATTGCCTAATCCTCTGTCTGATTGAAAAAAAACTTCCTATATGACATCTAAGCAGTGTTCTGTTGCCATTATATTAGGTACCACCATGCACATTACTACCAAGGTCTCTAATTTGTGAAGTAAACCACAACCAATCCACCACTTTCTCCCAAAATTCCAAAGCTTTTCCCTTTCCTCAGAGACCTATTTCAAGTACAAGAGCTAAGGGGAGCTTGAGCTCTTTAAGGGAAACTCCTCCCTTATTCCCATCCACCACCACAGCATCATGTCTTGCTGCAGCTACTGGCATATCCTGTCCAACCCCATCCCCCAATATGACTGCATTACAAACAAGGATAGAAAGACAACAACAAAATTTAAGGACTGCACTGAAGATGCGCAGGGAAAAAAAATACCCATCACCAAACAAACAAAGAAAGGACACACACTTTCAGGTAACACAAATTTCTACTTTGCATTGAAGGTGGTTTCTTTCAACAAATTAAAAAAAAAAAAAAAAAAAAAAAGAAAGAAAGAAATGGACAGGGAAAAAGCTAAAATAGAAAGGGGGTGAGTGACTAGAAAACTGAGACCGGGCAAATATAACCTAACAGCATTTGGCAGCCTTTCTGATGACTAGATGTTAAAAGAATTAATGACTTAAATCAGGCATAGATATGATATTTCATAGGTAAATAACCATTCCATGTCAAGCAACCTTGTCTACAGCATAATAAAAGGAAATTCTAGGAAGCAAAACACAAGTTAAAAGCATAGACAGACATTTTGTTTACAGGTACATTTTAAAAAAGAATGGTGTGAGTGTCTCTCTCTATACAGTATATATATATATATATATATATATTATATAGCTCGAGAAATTAGATATATTTGCTTGAACAGGCTCCTTACTCACAGAGGTTACTGTAGCTCCAGCAGTTACCCATTGGTCAAAGAAATAAAATGCAAAGCTCATCAGTTTATCTATAGCGATACCAGCTAATTCAATTGCTGCTGTTCTAGTCAACTGGAATCAAAATAGTTTCAAATTTCCTGGCAGCTGCTGCCCTGCACTGCACACAATGATGTAAATGGATGCTTTCTGAGTATTATGAAACTGATGGGGGAACTGCAGTCTCATTCAGTCTATCGCAGGAGCTAAGGAGTCCACCTTGGCAGCTTGCAGGGGGAAAAAAAAAAAATTTCCTCCAGCAAGGCTGCCTGACGGCATGCCAGGGATACGTCTGTGCTTAGCTGCCGTTTTTGTACTGCGTCCGTAAGGGGAGAATCGGGCAGAATGGCGATGCTGAGAGTCATGTGCTGGTTTCAGAATGCAGGATGCTTTATGGCATTTCAGCATTAGTGAGCTGGGAGCCTTCACTAAGCAGCCCAGTCATCCTGCATTTTATGTCTCTGCAGCTCCTTGCGCCGATCACAAGCAGCACGTGGGTGAGCTTGCATGCAGCATCGCATCAGTTACGCTTTCCTGGTATGCTTGCCACCATTTGTAAAAGGCAAATCGGGGCAAGTAAAAAACAATGTATGCATTAAGACGAGACAAATCTCTAGGTGACAGAGTTTAATGAACAAATCACAGGATATATGGTATTGTATCACTACTGGCCAAAGAGGAGGTTTACACACGTCTCCTTGTCCTGCACTGCATCGTGTTACAACTTCTACAGTCACTAAAACTATTCCAATTGATAAAGCAGCCTGCTCCTGCTGAGATAGAGCAGCCGTCCCCTATAAAAGGGGAGGGATGCTGCACAGCCTCTGGCAGCCTTGTGCAGCAGCCTTTTTCCAAATGATGTCATTCTCCATGCTGCAATAGGTCCCGCCTGGCCAGCGTAGCCAAAGCCAGGGGATTAAAGTAATGCAAACATGGGGCTTTTGTAACTGGACTGCAAACATCCACACCGGACTGGGCACAGGATTTTCTGCAGTTTGCAGGCCCTCCAGGCTTTTGGGCAGTTTGCTTGCTCCAAAAAGGAGAAGTGGAGCCAGGTCTTCATCCCGATCGAAAGTTACAGCAGCATTATGTAAAAACAAGTTGGTGGAAATGGGGAAGCTGAGTGAAAGTGAGAGGCAAACAGAGGGAAGAGGTTGGAGAGAGTTGCTTAGAAATAAATCCAGCTGAAATGCCTCTGTGCCTTAGCAAACATGCAGGGAAAGTAGAGGGGAATAGAGGTATGGCAGAGCCCTTGCAGAAAAACTGACCGTCTTGGCTGAGACCCCTCACCCCAAAAAGAGATAACCAGAGGGACTCCCTGCTGTGGTCACTGGGAGGTTTGGCACAGAGCTCAACAGCATGCACAAGGCTGTGTACTCTTTGCAATCCCTGCTTGAACAGCCAGACAGTGGTGTGATAGCCAGTGGCTCAGGGTTACCCAGAAATTAAACAAATTGTTCAGGGAAAAAAATAACCTCCTGCACACAGGCAGGGGCAGTATGTTGCTAAGGAAATTGTACACCCACAGCTTCCTGCACACTGGAAGAGATTCACAAAAAGATACTGCCCACTACTGTTCTTGTGTAGTTCCCTAAATTCTGGAGGTTTTGGGCTGCCAGAGATAGTGCTAGATGAAACTTCCGTTTGCCATAGGACAACTATGCCCATGCTAGATAAATCTGTGACGAATCTCTCTGCTAGCCAGTGCTGGAGTCTGGTAGGATATGTTGTCATTGGTTTGGAAAAGAGTGAGAAAAGCCACTAGGATAAGAACATAAATCCTTTGCATTCAGAAAGCAATGACCATTTAAAAAGCATGTAAAATACATGGGTCACTTTGTGCCTCTTTGAGAGTTTGTGTGGATTTTTTTTTTTTTTACAGCTGCAGAAGTTCTAGCCCTATTCCTGATGGAAAGCTTTATGCAAGCAACACTGTGACTTGGTTGCATATTTTTCCCCACAGGTTTTAACTACTTTCCAGTGGTAAGCAAGGTTTGAGACCTCTTGCATAACCCCAACTGCACTGAATTAAAGAGCCTGTACCTTTCCCCTGGTTGCAAGAAGGATGGCACCTTGCTGCAGTCACTCACAGGCCTACAGCAAGCTCAAAACAGGACAAAGTCCAAAACTAACATGCAGCACGTGCTGAGAGGATTTAGTGTGAGGGATTATCCACTACAAATTGCTGTATGGGCCACAGATGGTCAGTGAGATAGCTCAGTCCCAAGAGTCATTATTCTGGAAAGCAAAATGGTAGAGTGGAACAACAGCTGCTAGCATGAGCAGTAATAGGAGGGAATACAAAGGGAGTATCTGGACTCATTATCTTGACATAAAAGTGCAAGTGGGTCTTAGAATATTTAATGCCCTTTTCTTCTCTGAAGTCCCACACTCTAGAATTATATGGCTGTGAGAATCTCAAGTTTTGATTTAAGACTTATGTTTGGAGAAGTCTGAAACCCAAAAGGTAAACAACAGATCCAAAAAGAATCTGAAATTCTCTATTTTTCTGCTGCTGTGATTTAGAAAGGAAGCAGCTAACAGATTTTCTAAGTGTAGATACACACAAGCAAGAATTACTTCAAAAGCTCCATAAGAGCCTTCACCTCAAGAAAAAACTTCTGAAGCAGTGACAACTCACATCTGCTTAGACACTTTCAGCATCTACAACGACTTTAGAGCCTCTCTAAATTCACTTATAATTAAAGTTATATATTTAAAATACTGTATTTTTCACTAATATTCTCAAACCCCTTGGAAAGTTGTTTTGTGCAAGCCAACAACGGCTTTAAAAATCCATGACTTGTAAGCACAGATCTCAGAAAGTCGATGTCTGTTGATCCAGAGACTAGGCACACCTGCAGAAAAGGATTTCCTTTACTACATTTCAGAGTTTGGGACCAATTAGCCAAGCTGACAATAGTCTTGCTAGGCAGTTCTTAAAGCACCCTAGGAGATGGATCTCAAGTTATGTGCCCAGATAAAACAAAAGTAGGACATGGAGGGACATGTGCATCTCCCAGGCTCCAGGTGTTTGCTGCAAAAGGTGCTGTTGGACATTGCCTAGTAGCATTTCAGCAGGATTTTACAGCCAGGGAGACCCCCTTCCTCTGGAAGCTGGAGAGAGTTAAATAAACAACACAGGGATCTAAGGCAGAAGGTACTTGATAAAGCAGTGAACTGTGAACAGGAAAAATACATGCTGTACTCTGTGTTACACTCTGTCAGTCCAATACCAGGCCAGAACTGCACCTACCCACATAATTTTATTTAAATGCCTTCTCCTTGTGCATATCAACAGCACGTTAATACACATCATTTCCTTCAGAAAGCTCCAGAAATGAAGCAAGGCCACAGCACAATGTAGGGTTTGTGTTGATGTGCTGCAGATCTCACCAGATGATGGTACTGAGGCTGAGGAGAGGACATGGTGATAGTTAAAAATGCATCTGTGTCCCACTGCACCTGCCTGTAACAAGCAAAGTCAGCTGGCTGAGCCTCCCCTGTTGTGCCCATTGATCTGGATGCCCCATTTTCTGTCTGCCTGGTGGAAGGGAATGACTTGACTGCCTCCAGGAAAGTGTTGCTGAGTCCTGCCAGCTTCAGCTGAATTCAGCCTGTGCCACATGTGCTCAGAGCATCTCATATTGCCAGACACTGATAGACTGCCAGCATCACCAGGTCCCCAAATATTTGTGTGCTCACATCAGCACGGCTCTCAGCTTCGGTCAACAGTGCACAGACAGGGAGACATTTACTGCCTTAACTCTAGCATTTCATAACTTCTGAGTGCTTAATTCTGCACCTTTAAAAAACAATAAACAAACAGTCCATGTTTTAACAATTATTTGTACTAAACTCTTGGCCTTCAAACAACTCTGTTGTTTAGAAAGTTGAGGATGTGGTAATCTCCTCCCTACAGCTGTAGGTTATGATAACTTGAACTATCCAGCTTTCAAGTGAAGGTCACAAGACATTCAATTTCCTCCTGTGGCGCAAGGGACTTAGCATAATGACTTGTGCCCCCTTCAGTTTTCCTCCTCCCTGGACTGGAAACCCACATATCCATCACACCACACCTGACAGCTCCAGAGCATGCCTCAGCTTCTCCCAGCCCCAGGAAGCAGCACTCAGAAACTAAGGGAGATAGCAGAAATAAAGAGAGATAGCAAGACAGTTCCACCTCTCCACCTCTGCAGCCAAGGTGCAGAGCACAATGCTGTCCTTCTGCACCAGCATTCATTCACCTTTCCATGTGCACAATTCTAATCTGACAGCACTATGAGAGCTTGCTGCTCTTCAGAGCATCCAAAACGACCTGCTTTACTCCATGCTGGAGTGAAAGAGGAGCACTCAGCATAGCCAGTGAACATGCTGGTACCAAAAAGGTAATCACTTCCTATAGTGCACAAACTCAACTGGAAAAGTACCTTCTTATACAGTACTTCTGGAGACTTAAATTTAAAAAGTTAACCTTCTTTTTACGTCATTGCCAATCAGCAATGCCAAACATTGGAGGTATTTATGAGAAAACTATTGATTACACACTATGATTTTAAAACTCTTGCAGGACTTTCTGGCTTGTATATCAGAAAATGCAGTGGGACACTAGAAGCAACAACAAGAAGCTGATTAAGTCAAGTATGGACAACAGGATGATAGAATTTTAATTATAGGGGAGAGGGGTACCACAGCTCTGAGCTTTCTCCTTGTGTGTGCTGGTAAACGCTGCAGGACATCTGATGTGCTAATCCTTCACTGTAATTAAGCAAAATTAATGTGAAAATCAGGCAGTCCTCCAACCCTCAGAAAATGCAGTTTTGCACCTTTTAAGCAGAGCTGCAGAGGAAGATACCAGATCAGGGAGCTCAGACTTTGAGAATTGTCTGGAGATGGAAAGAGCAAGAGATGAAAATATGACAAGGGGTGGTGGTGCCTCAAAATGGAAAACAACAGGGTTGGAGCCCTGGACAAGACTACAGTCAGCAGTCTGGGCTGTCATGAGAACAATGTAATGAGTGCCTGGGGTCTCAGGGCAGTTCCTTCAGTGAGGACCAGGAAGGTGCCACTTCCCTGCAATGCGAGGGGGATGCAGCAGAGCTGGACATGAATGCCTTGAAGGAACAGAGCAAACAAGCAAGGCAGAATCTGTGTCAGTGATGCTCACTTACTGGGATAATTTTCTTAAAGGTGTTTAAATCAGAAGCACAAGAAGCCTGAAAAGACTTTACTTTTACAAAATAGCAGCCATTGTGTTCTTCCTCTGCTCTTGAAAAAAAGTTCTAGATATTCTAAAGCAAAAGCAATAATTTCTTTAACTGCAGTTCAGAACAGGTATGTTGCATGGGTCAAAGTATGTGTTTGATTTTCTTTCACGTGTCAGATCTGGCATTGTTTGACCCCTTGCAGTGGTGATTCAGCACACATTGCCAGGAGAAAATAAACCCTTTTTTTAGAATTGTTCTTTTGGCATTATTTTAGGGGGATTTGTTATAATTTTTGCTGGCTTGAGCTTGCTAAGCACACAGATGAGCCCAAGAACTAGCATGAGACAATCGGTGGCAGTGTGTGTCTGGGACCATCTCTTTTGGCAGAAGCAAGATGTTAAATGAGCTCAGTTGCCTCATGACACCTCACTGAACACAAAACAGCAAGTGACAGGCTCTCCAAAAAGATATTTGTTTCACCAGGAATTCAAACCAAGCTTCTTCCAGCAGCTGTTGGGAAAGACCAGATTTGCATAGCAACACAGGCAGTATTTGTACAGGGCCTTTTTGTGAAGGATGAGATTAAACCTCTGGTACACAGGAGGGATGAAAGCTTCAGAGAAAAGATGCATCAGAGAAAAGACTGCTTATTAATCTTAAGAAGCTATTTTCTTCCTAACAACGGTCTTGGATTTATTTTTCATATAACAGGAATTTTGGGATATTCGGCCTTCATGTTTATTTAAGGAATTATTTTGTAGTATCCCCCACTTTTTTCCCCAAGGAAGCACTTTTAAGACTAAGTAATGTGGCTGTGACTTTTTTTTTTCTTTTTGGTATTTAAGTGTATTAACGGCAAAGTCATAAAAATCAGTCCTGTAGCACAGCCAAGCCTGAAGAAAAGTCTGCTCAATAGAGATTACTGTTTCCACAGCAGTTTCCAGAGGAGGAATGTATGTTTCCACATACAACAAGCGACCTTTTATGTCAGTGAGTCTGAGAAGAGGTCTTGTCCAACCCAGCTAAATTCAGTTTCTAAAAAACATTTTCTTTTGCTGGAAGGCAGAAGGCTGGGGTTTCGCCAGGGAAGGTGGCCAGGCTGTGCAGGGCCACGTGGACAAGTGTGGTGCATTCTCCCCGCTCCCCCAGTGCAAGGGGTCTGCAGGGAAATGTGGCTTGGACCTGCTTCTGCTCCGAGTAATGCATCCCCGGCAGGAGGATGGACAATGGACTGGAGAGGAGGGGACCCAGACAAGAGGCATCATGCATTAAAGACAAGACCACATTAGGGCATCAGTGATCACACACATTCCAGATAAAATCAGACTGAAGACACCGAAAGAAAATGTTTTGCGTGCTTTATTAGCATTTGAGTATCGTTGATGAGACGCCTCTTATAAACCCACCTAACTTTTTATCCCCCCACCTTTCATTTGAAAATGACCAGCAGCTTCAACCTGGAAGGTAAAAATCAGCACGGAGCTTATTAACAAAAGCTGCCATCCCCCAAGTGGGTAAACAGAAGTGTTTGCCACAGTCGTCCCCAATTATTGTTGTTTTTTTTTGTGAATTGGCTTGTCTGATGCAAGTGTATTAGCATTTAGTCAAGACATGTATATCCTCAGCAGCATCAGCAGGGCTACAGTGACATGGCCGTGGCCAAAAGGGAAAGGATGAACCAGAAGGCAGAAGTAATTAAGCTGTTCAGCAGTTTATGTGCTACATTCTGTTTCTGAGGCCAGCCATGGCACGGGTCACCTGCTTTAGGGTTGATAAATTAAAGTTCAGCCTAACTGCCCCCAGTGACAAGTTGTTTTCTTGATCAAGTTTAAACACCAACATTTCTCCTGACCCTGCCCCTGTCACTCATTTGCTTAAAATATTTCATACTTTGATCCCTAAAAAGCATGTTTTCTTTCTTTTAAAGGAAACTTCAGAAAGTAGCATGTTTATTTGGATTTTTGGTGGTGTTTTCTCCCTTCTCTTCTAACACAGAGTAAAAAGACTTTCAAGCATAGCTGCTTCCCCCAAAAGCATATGTCATGACATATTTGGCATCTATCAAATAAAAAAAAAACTATGATTTGGTGTACAAAAGCCCTGAGTTTGCACTACTGTCCCCTCAGCCACCCTGTCCTCATTCATCTCCAGTAAATAAGCAGTTAAAAGCTGAAGAAAAAACTAGAAGGGGCAGAACCACTCTCATTTATCCATGGTGGTCAAACAACTTGTAAGAGAAGGAGGAGGAGGAGGATGCATTTGCCTGTGACAGCATGAGGCCAGTCTGGGTAAGCACAATGTCACCCAGTGTTTGGGTACAATTCACAAATGTTGTATGTTAACCACTGTTAAATATTCACAAACCCTCCTGTGAGGGTCCCTTGAAATCACTCTCAGTTTGCTAATTGTTAGCCCCTAATGGTAGTTTCTCATTAATAAAGGAACAGGACAAGATCCGGAAACAAGGCAAGACGGAGATCCAGAAAAAGGCAAAAACACGTGAAAAATACCGAGAATCAGGCACATAAGTCAATATATCTGGATTACTCTTTGCCACCCTTTGTTTTAGAGCTCAATACTTAGCTTAGAATACCCATCATATTTGGTAATTTGTTTTGGTAATAACAATGGATTCACTTGGATTTATTAGACATTGCATACTTTATTTAAGACCAATCTCTGGATTTGTACCAATGCCTGCTGACAGTGCTCTCACACTGTGTCTTTCCAAGCAAGAAATGAGGTCATCATGATTCATGTAATAAACTGATACACATTTTGCGGCAATTTGGAAGAGTTTTTAAAATTCTAAATGAGGTCATTTTGGCTTGGGCTTTTTGAGGGTCTTTTTCTCTTTTTGGAAATTTGGAATTTTTCCACTTTGCAATTAGGATTTCCCAAGTGGAGACCAAACTTTATAAAATCCAGGAAGAAACTCAATTCTGTTTCTTTGTTGTTTATTATTATCATTATTATTATTAATATTTTTTTTTTTCCTTACTGAAGTTGAGAAGCATACATGGTTTGTTTCTGAACAAAGTGCTGCCCTTTTCTGGCAAGAAGGGAGTCTTCTTTAATTAAGTGACATTCCAGAAAGTTTGCAATTAGAAAGGATCAAGGTACAAAGAGAACAGCCTGAGGAAATGCTTTTTCAAAGAGGGCATGGCTTGTTGATAATTTTGACAAGGCAAGAGGAATAGCTACAATAACTACATTTATTTTATTCTAGGCTTGGGCTCTTAAAAGGTAGAAAATGCCTTACATTTACAAGAAGACAGCAGGAACAAGACAGATCCTTAGGCATAACATTAGATATTGCACCTGGACTTCTGGAATCACTGACTACAGAGGGCAGAGAAGTTCAGGTACCGCCTCAAGTATCTGAATTAAAATCTTACCTACCTGTACCTGTAGAAAGACCACAGAGCGCATTTCTGGAGGGATCTCCAGGCAGAAATGGCCATGTTTCAGCATGTGCAATTGCAGAACTTGTGGCTGAACAACTCCACCACAGGGAAGTGCAGGGACTCCCTCTACCAATGTGTCTCCAGCACATGAGTCCCTGCTGTCTCATCATGGTGGCCCACATGAGCCAGAAAGAAAGGCAGAGCTATAAGAGAGTGAACCACTGTCATTTTCTGGGGCCAAACCAGCAGGATCCTATGGTCCAGTGCTTGTGAAGAGCAGCACAGCACAATGAGTGAGCCCTCGTGGGGTCATTAAAGAAGCAGCTTCTGCAAAACCTTCCCGAGTGGCTTAAGAAGATTTTTTTTTTTTTACACAAAATAGTAATAAATAGCACTTACCCATTCCTGAAGGCTTCTCTTCTTCCAAGCCAAATAAAAATTCATATTTGGCCTTGGCAACATTCTGGGCATGAGCCGATATGTCATTATCCCACACAAGTGCTTCTGCCTAGAGCAAAAATAAACAAAGCTTATATACCTTTTAGTGAAAAAACAGCAGAAGTAACATGAACTCCCTTCAGGCAGCATTTTTAAAGTATTCATTTCACTCTGTCACCACCAAAATCACCCAGAGTAGACCTGGGCCAACTCAGGGAACTTCTTCAGAGCTCACCCCTCTGTCATTGAACCCAAGAATTTCAGTATTAAGAACAAAGACCTAACAGATGTGAGAGCACCCAACCACTTTACCCACTTTTTAGCCAGCTTACCCATTGAAAGGCCAGCAGCACTGGCCAGCTATCTCAATAATACTGATTAGGGCTAAAAATATCAAGGGAATAGTATCAGAAATAGCAAATTTGAGTATGTATGTCATAAAACTGGAACCCATGGGAAAACCATAAATGGGGCAGGCTGTCTCTTTGAAAAGATAGTGGGGTAGAGAAAGTGAGGAGCAAGGACTACAACAAGGATGATTAAAAAGGGGAAGAAGGATAAGATATGCAAACATGTCCTTAGACTGGAGTACTGTCTAGGGTCTCTGCTGGGCATCCCATGCATGACCACAACTGTCTAGGTCAGGACAAGAGCCAAACTTGGTTTTACAACCATACCACACAAGTCAAACCTGCTTGTCTGGCCAGGAGGCAGGGAGGGGACACGGGGTGGTGAGCCCAGTAAGCAGGGGAACACCTGGAGGGGTGAATGGACAGACGGATTGAGCAACTGGTTCTACCCAGGTCTGGTGCCCCCAGCACCTTCCCACTGCTCATTTCTTGTAAGAAACACTTGACAGAGTAAAGGTCCAGTTTCTCAGAATAGAGAAAAGCTGCAGGACTAAGATCAAAATACTTTTCTGAACACGTAGGGACAAAACAAATCTCTAAGCTAAAGCACATGCCAGCAATAAAATGTAGTGCACAAACTATCTAGAGTCAGCATAAAGTTACTTCCCAGCTGGGCAAGACGGAGCCCGTAATTCTTCTGTTTGAAGTGACAGATAAAATAAATCACTAACTCTGTAAATTCTTCAGTAAACTTTATATTCATATGAGGTAGTCAGTTGCTGTGGCATAGCAAGCCATGGCATGGTTTACATTGGTGAAAGCATTAGCTTACAAAAACACTCTTTAAAAAACAAAGTTAAATGGAACATTCTGTCCCCCAGGACAACAATAACTTTTATGCATTTCGATCAAATACCTCAGGATAAGCGTCAGATACAAAGAGAAATTCAAAGTACAAGGGACACATAATTCACAGGAACACATAGTCACAGCTCTTTAATCAGACATGGATGGAATCACAAATCCATATATTCCTCCTAGGCCATCTGTCCAACAATTGTATTTTCTTCCTTGATGAATAGTTTATCTTCCCCATGCCCTAGAATGGTTTTGCTCCAGGTTCCCCTGGCCTTTTACCCCCGTTTCTTCTCCTGCCTTTCTGCACTGTGCCAGTTCTGCAAGATTTAGTCCAACACCACTCTGCTCTAAGTCGACAGCAGATCTTACATAGGGGTCTTGGACTAATTTATTTGCCATTCACTAGGCATTCACTAGTCCAGCTACTCAGCACTAGGGCTTCCAGTACATTGATGCACGTGCTAACACCAGCCTACCCAATCCTTTGGTAAAGATGTGATGGAACAGATAAAGGGCTTCATATCACAAAGATGACTATCACAAGCATGACAAAATGGAAGAAATCACCATGTCTGTCCTGCCTGCATTCATTCACTGGCAGGGAGGCAGGAGGGGCTAGAAAAGGAATAGCTGGAGCCAGAGCACACGGGGGAAGGCTCTTTGTCTGCAACAGCTTAGACAGGAGTAGCTTACAAATCCAGACAAAAGTTCAGCCTGCTCAGATGGATGTGAAGGGATGGTATGGCTAACAACTAGCTGGTGCCAAATCCCAGTGACAGATAAATGAAATGGAAAATAAAATTAACAGAACAGTCCAGTTCCTGAGGAGTAAGGAATTTCTGATCTATACCCCTCTGGGACACAGCTTCTCCGTCCCTCAGCCTTGCTCTTTGAGATTTCACAGACATCTGCTGCACTGAGCATCCCTGCCAGCAGACACGTGTTCCAAGGATCTCTATTGCCTGTACCTCACTGTAAAGCAAAGAAGAAAACTCCAGCTCACAGTACCCTCCTCATCATCCAGTAACAGTCACAAGTAAATTGTAAAATTAATGGGGTTTCAGTGTATAGGCCATCATTTACCAGAGTTAAGTGCCTAAACAGAGGCTGCATGATCTTAGTGTTTTCATCTGAAAGGGGTAACTTGATTGTCAGAACGGCTCAATGCTGCTGATGAAAATTGCAGATACTAGTTTGTGTATGGGAACAGCTGTATTTAACATCTATTTAGGTTGTCAGAGCACTAAAAGGATGTATAAAGAAAATCCATATCCAGGCTTAAGGGTAAGTTTATCATATTTCATCCAAACAAGACATATTAAAAAAGAATGCAAGAGCAGGAAAGAATGAGGATGCTCTGAGGTCAGAGCTAGTTTTTACTACTATTGCTTTACCAATGTCCAAATCAAGAGACAACGTGTGTTCTCCTTTCCTTCTTTTGATCCACCACTCACCTAAGCTTTGCAGAAGTCAAAATGCCCTGAAACAAGGAGCCCAGAAATGGGCTGGACAAACATTCATGGTGCTTTCAAGTTGCATTAGCAAAGATTAAATACGAGCAAGATTGAAAGGGATATAAAACTCCTGCTTAAGCCTTCTCTCTCAGCTCAAGGGCAAAGAAATCTGCATCCAGGTCAGCCATTTCATAATTGCTTCCCTCAGAGGCCTTTAACCACCACCTTCGAAGCATCTCGTCTTTGTCACTGCTGAAGAGGGTGATGCTTAAAAGCACCAATCCCCTTAAATCAGCCCAGCTGAACATACATTTCTCATGAGCCATATACATATTATTTTTCAGTCCAGTGATGCTCTGGGCAGAGAGGCAGCAAGCTCCTACCCATTGGTGCATCACTCTTGCAGTGCTTTCTGCCTGTTTGAACATGTTTGATCAAGCCCACTTCTCTACGTCCATAGCTCTTGGTCAGGAGTTAGGAAGGCTGCATTTGCCTCACAGCGAATTTTAAGTAACATTTATGAGGTTGCATTAGTTTGCACTTGGCAGTCCTCACCCCTCAGACCTCCTGCCAACACACTGGACCAGTTTCTGCTGACCTCACACAAGGCATTGACATGGGTCAACAGAGGTTCCACCTTGCTGGCCTTGTGTTGCATGCTTGGGGAACAGAGAGATTGTTTAAGATAAGCCCGTGGTGCTCCTGGTGGTTTCAGGCCAGCACAGGAACGAAGCTGCTGAATCTGTGTCTCAGCACCGAAGTGAACAGCAGCAGGATGCTAAGACCACAAAGTTCCTGCTACTCCAGCAGGAGCTGCCAAGGACAGATAAGCCAGCCCAGCAAGAAGCACACACACTGCCTCTGCTCTGTTGTCTGGATGTGTGAATGGAGCAGCAGATCAGTATCTGCAAGGAGAAACTGTTCCCACAATTCACCCTTGAGAGGTGTCTTTAACTCCTGCTGAGAGCTGGGTGCTGCCTTTCCTCAAGCACAGTTTCTCTCTCTGGATGAATTTCATTTCAACTCGTAAGCTCTCCTCAAACTGCCCTCCAAAAATCCCAGTGGTTTTTACATAGGTAAAGTGAGTCATAAAAAGCTGAAGAAAATGCTTCTCCTTTCTCTACAAAAGAAATGCACTAAAGCATCTTCTTTTGACTTTCACTGAGGTTCTGGTTGGGACCTTTTCTTGGGACCAACTGGTTTTGTCTTGGGGCCTTTTTTTTTTTTAATCATACTGTCTTCGGTGAATGTTTCCTCCTAACTTGTCTCAAACCAGGACACATACCTACATGTCAGAGAGCTTTAACTGAGGCATATCAAACTCTTGCTATCTCACCACCATTTTCAGCTGAGCTGACAGGAAAGCTGAGCTTTGTCTCAGTGGAAGGGGATAAAACTGTCCACAGCTGCTGTGACAAGCAATGGGTCAGTCTGAGCACAAAGAACCAGTATGAATCCGTGCCTCCTGAAGCATTCACACTTAAGGTCATATATTTTCTCTGAAAATGTCTAATAAGGAGGAAGTATTCAAAGAAGCAGATAATTAAATGGCTACTTCCAGTCTGGAAATTTTCAGACTCCCTGAGAGGATGGATGCTGTTAAGACAGGCTCACTCCTTGCAGGAGACCTGGGAAAAGAGTGCTTGAGAAAAAGCAGAACAGGATGGGTGCTGAAGCATGAGTCTTCAGGAAGCAAGAGTCAGCCAAAATTCTAGACAGCAAGAGACCACCCATCCCTAAGGGGAAACATCAGCAGGAAGGGACCTAGGGACCATTCACGCAGAACTGTTAGCTGGGACAGAGAGGTGAAAGTGTCCTCAGGCATGTCTCCACAGCTAAGACATATCATGAGGAAGTCTCAGTTTTACATGCCTGTAAATCAGTCTACTATGGAGAACTTCACATCCACACCTGGACCGTTTCTAATCCAGGCTGTGCTTGGTCTATTCTCATTGTTTCACGACCACCAGCAAAAAACTCAACTGCCTGTCAGCAGCCAAATACTCACTGTATCAAATACCCTGATACAGTGAGTATATGCACAGAAGGTTTCCACAGATTTTAAAACCTACAGCAAGTTGCAATGTCATGGGCAAGTCTTTACAGAATCCTGCATTGAGAGCTCTGCCTCTGCTGTCACATCATCCCTGTGTGGCCAAGAACTCAGCAAGCTTCACTGTTTTTGACAGGTCATACCAATGGTTCTGAAAAGACTATGCCTGTTGAGCTTGTCTTAAATCACTTCCCTAAGGAGCAGGATTAAATGCAGAAAGCTGGCATTAAAATAAACTTGCTAACTGGTAAAACCTAGTGCACCAACATCACAGGAAGAGTGTGGGTGCTCAGAGTAAGACCACTGGGTAGGCAAGGGTTGTAGCATTTAATTCCATTTGACCTCATACAGCATAGCTGTGTTTTCCTTATACCTCCCCACACTAATACACGTTTGCAATTCTTGAATTAAAGCATTAGTAAAATAGATTAACATTCAAAACAGGACTTTGCATGGCTTAATCTCAGTTGGAGTTGCTATAACTTAATGCTAGTCAAGGTTTTGAATGAGAAGAAATCTAAGCCTGAGTTTTAAACTAATTCCTAACTATCAGGAGTTGCAGGGAGATGTATAGAAAACCAGAAGGTGGGGAGGAAAGAATGTGCTTGTGTGAGACCACTGCCTATAGCTGTTTTCCAGCTATAAGAAGAAGAAGTCGGGATTTTAGAGAGGGTCACATAAGATTTTTCAGCTGCAAGGCTACTAAGAGACGTGGCAGAGGCGCTTGCAGTGATAAGGGGTCTAAAAAAAGCAAATTAAAATCAGTGCCTTTTTTTTTTTTAATGCAACAGCCAGAAGACAACAGAAGAAGGTATTGGCAGTCAGCACCACACCAAGGAGGACATGGTTCCTGGTATAGTTTGTAGTCAAAACCACCAACCACCTTGCAAAGCAATCTCACAGAAAACAAAATACTGAGGCACCTGACAAGGGTGAACAAGCTCAAGGGATACAAATCCCTAACACTACAGAAATCACATGCTTCTTATGAATCTCTAAGCTGACCTCTTCCTGGGCATGACCTGCTGACCTCCATGACCACATCCATGTTCCTGGGCTAAAGCAGCCTTGAATCCAAACCAGTGCAGCAAATCACCATTACCTGCTCACAAGGCTTTGGCATGGCCATGGACTGGACAGACCTCAGGCTTGGTACCATCCAGCCAGCTCCTCTTGAGTCCTCACCACATCACACTCCACAGCTTACCCCAGGGATTCACCAAAAGGCACCAGGGCACTGCAGGTTTCCTATGCCATTATTCCCAGCACTACAGGGTTTGTTTACTGTGAGCAGCCTCACAGGGATCAGTTAGGCTGGAGAGAGCAAAACTGAAAGGGTTCAGATACTACCAAAGCTGCTCTCCCTGCACAAAGGTAGACTTCACAGAAGTTCAGTGTCTGAAGAGATGCTCAGTTCAGAAATGAAGCAAAAGATTTTCTGCTTAGGAAAAAAACCTGGGAACGGTGACAAAAAAAAAAAAAAAAACCCAAATTAATGCCTTAGCAGCAGTATCAAGCAAGTAAAATTTGTTTCCAGTCTGGTCACCTTGTTCTAGACCTGCACTTGTGTTTCTCTCCCTTAAAAAAATGTTTGCTTTGTTGTTTAGTTGTTTGGAAGCAGTCAGCCATTATACAGAATTAAATGCTTTCTATTATGCAAAGGCTGATGCTGTCTGAGCTGTAACTGCATGGCTGTGAACAACATATTAATTTAAAGTCTGTATGATTACACTTTACCATTAAAGGTCACTCAGCATTTTGTATTTGTCAAGTCAGTGATTTTTGATGCATGCTGTATGGACCTCTGGATATCTACACATTATTTCTAAGGTATGTGCAAGAATCAAAACAAGTCCTCTGAGAAGAAGACTTTAGCTCACTGCCTGAATCACTGTGTTCTTAGACATAACACACAGAGATGAAGAAAAACACCCAAAAACTTTTACAAAGCCACAGTGCAAGTATATTCCTGAGTTATGTCAAAGAGTATTGGGGTGGGGTGTGATTTAAGAAAAACTGTGCAAAGACAGCATCTTATATCCAGAGAATTCAGTGATGCATGCAGTAGATATCTTGCATTTACTGTTTTTGTTCAATCTGTTCCAGAATATTTAGCAAACTGACAGACTTCTTCACTTCAGCAGGTACTGTGCTTGCATCATCTTCAGGCAACTCAGATGCAGGACAATGTTTAGACAGGCTACAGGTCTGCTCCACGTGGATTTCTCCTCTATGGAAGCTAAAATTTGAATATACCTAAATGTCTTACAAACCTACCAGAAGTTAGTTCTGTATCTTTAAACAACTCATTTTTTTCCAAAACCCTAACCAACATCTGCTGTCCCTTGAAACTTTACAGATGTCATCCTCTGCCATGTGCTGTACATTCTTTATGTCCAGCTAAATATACACTGCTTTTATGGATGGAGGACTAGGGTATTGGGAGAGTTCATCTTCCTTTTTCAAGTCAATATTATAAATATAGTTTAAGGTAGTGTCCCCAAGTGATTAAAATAATTCCATTTCAGTGAATGGTTAAAAAAATTCAAAAAACAAGCCAACAAACAAAAAACACCCCACACCCAGCCATCAGACCACTCCACACTGGAAGAATTAACATTTGCAAAAGTATAAAAAATCTGCATTTTTCTCTGTGGGAAGCACAAACTGTAGAAATACAACACAGCAGCAGAGTATGCAAAAAGGGGTATGTATCTTAGACATAGCTTGCTGATTCTGCATGATTATTTCATATCACATATTTAAATTAATTTTACAGTTTTCACTCAGCAGTTTTTTCCGAGCCTTACCTAGATTTAAGAGAAGCTTTTTGGAACAGAAATTTGACTGAAGTTTGATCTGAGCCATCTTATCTCTGGCACAATTAAGGCAGAAGTGAGAAAATACATCAACAAATTTCTCCTGAGGTGCAGGCGCTGGGGGACTGAAAATATTGTTGCAAGACTATATGCTTGCTAAGAAAGTGCACCTTAAGGACTGCCAACATTGTTGGGCAGCTGTGGCCCCTGCAAGTGGTCAGGAGCCAACAGGCAATTCCAGCTGTGGCAACAAGGCAGAAGACATCAAAGATGCTACATCCCCCACAAGCAGCACAACACAGGCCAGCTGACACTCCTGCCCCACTGGTGAGGAAATTAATACCTCTTCTTTTTTCCTCATTAAATCACAGCAAGTCTACAGACAAGACAGCTGACAACAATCAGAACTTCCTGGTACTAGAATTTGTTCCTTCTTGAGAACAGGGCTTCCCTGGGAAGCATTCTTCTGTTAGCTCTGACATGCAGACATATCCCAGGCTTAAGTGCGTCTTGCCATCACACTTGGCATTCACTCAGCCTGGGAGATGCAGCTATTACTCAAATGACACTTTCCATTTGAAAACTGTTGTAAAAAAATAATGAGTACACTTTAAGCCACCTCTTCCACTGTGCCATTTCACACCAAGAAGAGAAAGCAAGCCCCATTCACGGCTTCTGCAAAAAGGGAGGCTTGTATTATGTAATCTGTGCCATTATGTTATTTTCTTACTGCTCCCAAACTACTGCACCACAGTTTCAAGACAAAGGCCTCCTTTCAGTCACAGAATCAAAATACGCTGACTTGGAAGGGACTCATCATGATCATCAGGTCCAACTCCTGGTCCTGTGCAAGACCATCCTTTCAGCAAAAAGTTGTTGTGGCTATGACATGATGCTCTCAGCAAGCATAGCATGACCAGTGTGTTTCTGCTCTATCAGGCCATCCTCAGAAGCCAGCTCCAGCCTGGTTTCCTTTGGCTTAGACCAGAAGTTGAAATACTGAAAATCTTTTGTGCAGTTAGTAAAGGGAGCCACACACTTCCCATAGCCATGACCGGGAAATGCAGTGCTCACACTCTGATGGACACCTTGATCACTGATGGACAGCCTGATCCAGTGCCCAAACAGGTTTTTTTACTTACAGCATCCAGGAAGTACAGTCAATTCAGAAGCCATTCAAGCTTCAAGGGCTAGATAATACCCAAACTCCTCTGATTCCTGATTCAACCCTGTAGCAACCAAGCCCGCACCCAGAGGGCCAGCTCTCACTCCACCCTGCTTTTAAGTACCATCTGCAACCTGCCTTGCTCATCTCTGTAATGAAGAGAATAAATGTTTGGATGCATTAGCATCACAGGAGTCTGTGGTCTCAAACAGAAGCTGGCAAAACAGCAAAAAACATCTCAGAGCAAGGAGGAGGTGCACTCAGAGGGTGCAGCTCCTGCATCTGGAAACATACTGTAGAAGGATACTCCAAACAGTGCCATTCCTGAGAAGAATGGAACACTTAAAACCAGAATGACAGTGTGAGGGGGACACTTTGAGCTGGTCTCAAACAGATTTTTCATCCAACAGAAGAAAATTATTTCTAACACACACAACACCTGCTCCCCAATTTCACATCAGTACAAACAGGAAAATAAGGACTGTAAATAGTCTTTGTGATCATGGGGTTTGGCAGGCATCAACCCATTTAGGAAGTTTAGGACCCAAATTGCATAAGACCTAAAGTTGTTTATCTGCAGATTCACTTTGCTGTATGGTGACTGCCCAGAGAAGCTCTCTAGCACACATCCCTCTTCTCAGCCAAACTTACAAAGGGAAGAAGCCACACACAATTTTACAACCCACTAGGATGCAAAGAACCACCCAGGTCAGAGAGCAGGTCTTGGTGGGACAGGCAGATCAAGACATCCCTGCTCCACCAGAAGCCAGCTCTCCCATCAGGGACCATTTGCAAGGAAATGTCCCTTCAGGGGCACTGGGTGGCCTGTGTCCCTGCTGAGCCCAGGAACATTACTCCCACTCACCACTTCGCTGGGTGAGCTCAGCAAGACTCTCACCAAACATCTGTAACAGCTGCTGCACCCTGGGGATCCTCAGCGCTCACAACACAGAGCTGATCTGGAGCAGGATACTCTGACAGCCCCAATCTTTGTGTTCTGGCAGCAGTTCACAGGTTTTTCCAGCCTCAGCTGAAGAACAGCAGCTTGGCAGATGACTCCCCAGTACCCTGGGGACCCACCCACCTAATACTATCCCCTCCCTCCCTTTCTTGGGCTCCCTTCACTAGGCCACTACATTGTGCTACCTCTAAATTGCATTTAAATCAGCACTCAGCAGTACCCCAGCCTCTTGCTCTCTCTCAAGACCCTTACAAGCAAACAGAGGTTCTCAAAAGAGAAACACATGGCTGAGAAAAATCACTTCAGCCCTCAGTCTGCCAGCCTGTCTCTCCTTGAAGCAGGGATGGTTTCAAGCAATCAGCTACTGTGCAAGCACAAAGACAGTTTATCAGCCACGGCCCAAGCACCCTTACTTAGTACTGGTAGCCTTGTGTGGTGTACAACTTTTGCTGCCTAAATGCTGAATCGTCCAGCACTTGTCTCAGAACACACGCACCAAGTCAAGTGCCTGCAGAGATGCTCCATGGCACTCCTGCAGTGAGCCTGCCTCTCAGGCCACAAGAATCAAACCCCAATCCATATCTTATACCAAAGCTGCAAAACCAACCGCCAGAGTTTCCTGGTGTGATGGGCAAGAATAGAAAGGACTGTGTTGGTGTGGAGGCAGGGAGGGAAAGTATTCTGAACAACATCCATGTGCTTCAGCTATGCACTTTGACAACAGTAAAGAAGGATTTGCTGGAGAAAAAAAAAGCCACTAGCACGTTCATTAAAATCCTCACTGCTCTTTTCCTTCTCACTTTAATGGCACAGAGATCAAACTGAAAATTTAAAATTGGAAATAGTAAATCAAACAATCCACTTAAGCACAAATAGTTCAGGAGAAGCACTTTCACACAGGTCAGTTATGCAAGAATTTTCTGTGTGGATTAAGAAGTCCTAGATTTTTTGTTTCAAAACTTGTTTCAAATTTTGAAAACAGCAACGTGTATGTCTCCTGGATTTTTTTTTTACCATCACCACTACCATAAAGGATGTTCTCACACTCCCCAATGAACCAAGGTTCTAATCGAATGGGATCATTTGCACAGCGTCTCCTATATGGTTAACCTCACCCCTCTCCCATCAAAAGTATGCCCCAAAACCAACTCCTGTGTAAATTAACAGAGCTAGGACAGATTCACTGGGCATTAAACTGGTAACATGTGCTGAAACACATCAACTAAGGATATGACTGATGAAAAAGCATTTGGAATAGAAAGGCTTCTTTCTACTAGCTAAACCAGAAAGGCCTGGGTGACTCTCAGTAGTCTATTACAATTGCTTCAAACACTGGGTGTGCAACCTCCAGTTTCATTACAAATACTGTATTTGACATTCTGTGTTAATGGCCCTGTGCACAGACAGAATTAAAGTGTGACTGAAGCTACAAAACTAAGAGTACTTGCAGTCACTTATTACACACCCAAAGCGCTTCAATAACATATACATGTGCCTTTGCCTGACAATATACTTTTGTATATTTTGTGTGAAGTTGTGGGTTTGTGTGAAGTTCAAACTCATTTCAACTATATGTTTAGGTTCCCACTGAGAAGTGTAGCTCCAGTTCCCGGGAGCAAGGATGAAGATAGCACCTCAACTGCACAGGAGCATGCCTGCGTGGTTTAATATACTACAGTTTTACACTTTGGGTGAGATCATCTCAACTCTTGCCCTGAAAGTGCATTGCTACTCAGCCAAACGCTTTTCTGACAATGTCTTGTTTAATTCAAGAATTCAAGAGAGCTTGTCAGTGCAGCAGCAGGGCTGATGTGTTAGACAGACAAGTTCCTTGGAGACACAAGCAAAGCCAACTGCAGGACGTGCAGGCTCGGGGTCCCAGCCCTGAGCGCAGCTGGTGTCTCTCGGGATCTGGCAGTTGCGAGCACAGAAGTGGGCTCCGAGCTTTTTTTCTCTTAGGGCACTGTGAAAAGGATTTTTAAAAAAGGAAGAAAAAAAAAATTAAGAGGGGAAAAGGAAAACAACAAAAGGAAAGAGGAAAAGGGATAAGGGAAGAAGGAAGAAAGGGTAACAAAAAGAAAATAGAAAGAAGAAAAAAAGAGGGGGGGGGGGAGAAAAAAATGCAGAAGTAAATGGGACAAAGTGCCACAGCGTGAGGGCAAACCCCGCACCCGCACGGGGACACGCCGCCCTTACCGCACCGCCGGCTCCCTCCATCTCCCATCGCCGGCCGCGGAGGATCGCAGCCGCCCTCCCGCCGGGCCGCGCGGAGCCGGGCCGTGCCGTGCCGTGCCGTGCCGAGCCGTGCCGTGCCGTGCCGTGCCGTGCCGAGCCGAGCCGAGCCGAGCCGAGCCGAGCCGAGCCGAGCCGAGCCGAGCCGAGCCGCGGTGCCCCGGCCCGCAGCGGCGGCCCCGGCGCGGTGGGCGCGGAGCGGCGCGGGCCGGGCCGGGCCGGGCGGCGGGGCCGGGCCCGGCGGGGCGGGGCGGGGCCGGGCCCGGCAGGGCGGGCAGGGGACACGGGGGCGGGGTGGGCGCGATGGAGGGGAGGGGAGCCGGGGGAACCACGTGCTCCTCCAGGAGATTTAAAAATAAATAAATAAATAGGAGGGAATTATTTCGGGATTAGCAGAGCAATGGGGGGAAAAGCACAAGCCGGACCGCGTGCCCGCTGCGGCGGCGCTGGGCAGGAACGCGAGCACAGCCCGCGGGGGCTGGGACATGCCGTGCTCTGCTCTTAAATCCCCTCGGTGCGGCTCGCAGTTGCTGGGAGAGGGAAAGAAAAAACAACCAGCCAAAAACCCAAACAAACAAACAAAAGCAGACGCCTTTTCCAGCCCTGGGGCTTTCTGTCGCAGTTCTCCTTCGAAAAGCAGAAGAGTGCGGATGTCTTTGGAGTAACCCCATCTGAACACACGAAACCGAATTTCCACTTTTGTTGGGTTTTTTTTTTTTTGTTTGGTTGGGTTTTTTTTCACAGTTCGCTGGAAGCTCTCTTGAACCATCAGGTTTTAGAGCACTCAGCCACATCATTAGAATTTCTCTAACTAGGACCTCTGAGCCTTGTAGTTTTAAGTAAAAGTGGGGTTTCCCTATCAAAAGCTGTGCTTTAGAAAATACTCCCAAATCTCATTAGCCCGGTTAGAGGAGTTAACTGCACAAGTAGCTGGCAGACTGCATAAAGAAGGATGTCAGTTTCTGTAAGTTCAGTATATCTGTGTTTTGTTCAGCAGCAGCTGAAAACTTCTTTGGTTTTAACTAATCAAATTTGAGGACAGGCTTTCTGGAACAATCTTTGAGGACCAGGAATCACTGAACACACTGTATGTTTGCTTCTTTCTGAGCATGGGTAAAAAAACCTGTGTGTTAGGTGAGGCAAGGTTGTTCTCTAATGCAGCGCTCTTCTGAAAGGCCTTGTACTGTGCCGGTGGTAGAAGTGCATCACCATGAAGTCACTGACATAAGTATGCCACACCCAGACAGAGCAGCATCTCTGTGGCTGAGGAAACAGCCTAGCCCTGCCTTGTTCCCCACTGGCCTCACAGCTTAGTGCCAGAGCCACCCTTCCTGCCAGCACTGGGCAATCTCAGCTTTCCTTCAGACCCGTAGCGGAAAAAAAAATCCATTTACAACAGGATAAAAGTATGTCCAGGCATAAAGCTTGAAGCACCCTGGCCTAAAGCTTTCCCTGTTTGGCAGTAAGACAGGGGTAGCAGCACCATCTCTGGGCTTTTCCAGCTTGTCTGGGGGTTCCATCCAGCAGCAGCTCCCCATGCGCTTCCCAACAGGGCTGTGGCATGCAGAGCTTGCGCTGCTTTCTTAGACCGAACCCACTATTTCTCACCACCTCCAGCTCCACATTTGCCCAAACAGCACTGCCTCTGCTTTACACCCACATCACCTGGCAGCAGACTGCGCTGCTTCTGTCATCTGGGTGCCAGTGGCGTACACTGTATTTCAGAAGCCACTCTGCTCTTTCCCCTCTCCCCATCATAAGCCTCTCACCTGCTCCCCAGCACCACAGGCTGCCTTCAATCATCCATCCCAGGAGCAGCACAGGACCTGCCCCCTGCCCTGCTCAGCAGCACTCCAATACAGTTGTTTCTGTCCTCTGGAAACAGGTAGGTGAAAACTTGTCTTTCCATCCCCTGAAACAGCTGGCAAGGGTCCTGAAGAGGTCTCTGTGATGCAGGTCCTCCGTGCCCGCCTTCTGTGGCTGAATTTCACCTACCGGGCTGGGGGATGTGCTGAAGGACTTCACCCCTCTTCCCCAGCCACAGCTGTGACGCCAAACATGTTTTGGCCTTGCCGGGGTTTTGTCCCTTCTGTCAGACACCCTGGGGGCCCTGGGAGGCAGTGTGGGGGCACAGGCTGCAGAGTCCCCATCTGTGCCACATCTGAGAGGGCTAATGCGGTGGAAAAAGGAACCACCCAGCGCCTGCGTCTCCGAGGAGTTGATGCACTCTGCCTGCCTCTTCCCTGACAGGCTGAGGTCATGCAACTGTGCGAAAGCAGGGCTGGAGTCATGGCTGGTGATGTCCCTTGCAAGGCACATCCCCTGCCCTCGGCACCTAGGTGGCTGATGCAGCCGCTGCACTCCAGTTTGGAGCTTCCTCCCCCCTATTTGTGTTGAGAAAAATTTGACCTTTTCTCTCTTATCCAGGCATCTGGCCTGAGTCAGCCAGACATTTTGGCTGCCAGGAATATGCTGTGTGCCAAAGGACTGGGAAAGGCGAGCATTTGCCAGGCTGGGGCAGGATGGTCCTGCAAGCCTCTGCTACATGGGCATCTAGCTCCTGGTTAACTTCACTGCAAAGGAGGGTGATGGAGTCCTGAAAACTAGCACAAAGTGGTGTTTCTTACAGCACTGATCATTGTTTTCTGCAGAAGGGCCACATTAAATTCTAAAACATTTCTGTGAATGGGCAATCAGCAGAGAAATGTGCTGGGGTTACTACATTTGTGAAGGAAATCTGTATTTTTTTGTCCAAATGTTTAATATGAATTTCCAGGTAGTTATTAAAACAAATAAAAGTCACCAAAAGCTGACACAAACCTAGCAGCTTTCTAAGCAGTTATGAGATACAGTTAGAGAGCACTCTTAATTGTTAAAGAATTTAGTCATGAGCATACAGCATGTATCTTTAAACAACCCAAACAGAATTAAAAAAAAAAAAAACAAACAAAAAAAACACCCCAAAAACTCAGAAGATGCCAGTCAAGTCCAGCCTGTGCAGTGGCTAAGCTGTTCTGAATCCCCAGCCATGGGCAGGTGATGTGCATGGGTGCTGGGCTGAGGTGGAGCAGGGCATGGGAAATGGGAGACAATCTCAGGAGCTAGTGGCTGCAGCAGACAGAAGTGTGAAAGCAGCACGAGGGACAGCTGCATTCCACAGTTTGGATAAGGAGGATTTGTGTGAGAAGTGACCAAACTGCAAAGGCGTTTGCTGAGGTTGTTTGGGGGAGTGGAGCCCTGCAAAGCCAGCAGTGCTCTAGTAACGCTATCAGCTAATATTGCCCAGGTCACAGTATTCAAAATGTCAAGTTTGGGTATGCCAGGTAGCAAAAGTGGTACTCAAGGCAAAAAAAGTAGTTATGGCAGACTGCTTGTTTGCAAAGAGTCTTAAGTAGAAAACAGGAGGTCAACAAATAGGAAAATGGGTATGACAGGCAGCATCAAGGGCTGCCAAGATGTGCTTGTCAAGCAAGCCCACACTTGACCACCAGAATGGGAGCAGGGCAGCAAACCAAACCTGGTTTCTGACTATAACACATGGTCAAACCTGCTTCTGGTCACAACACAGGGGTCATAGGACGCTTTCTCTCATCAGCAGGGAAGCACCTAAGTGGATATATGGATTAAGCATTGCTATGTTAGTGCCTGTTCCAGCCAGATGGCACCAGTCCCTTCCCCTCTACTAAGACAAACTTGTCTGGGTCAAAAATTCATAGCTGAAAATACCCTACCTCACTACACCACCCCATAATGAAGAAAATAAATAAGAAGGAAAAATAAAAAAAAGGAGTGTATTAAAATCAGTGTACTGCAAAGAGTAACCAATGCATAAACTCTGTCATTTTTTGCCAATAAAGTTGCTGTCTTGCTCATTATTCTCCTCTCACAGGGAAGCAGTACAGGAAACTCACTTCCAAATAATCTTTCTTTATTCAAAAGACAGAAAACCACAATAAGCAATCATCCAGGTACTCACCATAAAATTTCTCACAACATTGCATTTCAAATCAAAGAGAGTCTCTTTTGTCTTGAGGGAGAAGAAAGCTAGGGATATAAAAAAATAATATCATTTTAAAAGCCTAACCAGAAACACCACTATCTACAGATGGAAAGACAGAGTTAATAATTTACTGGATTTTCCTCATGTGTCTGGATTTTCTGGAAACAGCTGGGAAAACATTTTTTTTTCTGTTTTACTCAGAAAAACATAGTCACCATCACAACCAATTTTTTTTTTTTTTTCTGAATTAAAGGTGGAAAAGAAGCTGCAACACCGCAAGGGAGAACAGCAAACTTGGAGGTGAGGTGCAGAGTAAGAAAAACAGCATGTGTAAAGATGGTAACCTTCCTATTCGTTTTTTTAAAGTTTAAAGTAGCCTTTTCTTAAAGTAACCTTCCGATTAGTATTTTTTTCCTATTAGTTTTTTTTTAAAGAGTCAGGTATAGTAAAGCCCAGGGTGGCAGCTACAGCATGAAATGGGCCAGTGGACACACTGGCTAGTTAGCCAGTTTCACTGTGAGAAGGTGTATGCTGCAAGCCACGACAGCATCACCATTCTTCACTTGGCTTTTCCCTCATGTTGTCAGATTTGTTTGGCCTCATACCCAGAGCTCCTGAAAACTTCCCCTTTATGGGTTAACTGACTCTTGTCCTGCTCCTTCACTCATGGACAATTCTCCAGAGTCTTGCTATGGACAGGAAACAATCCAGAGATTTTGATTCACTCCATCCTTCATCTGACATGGTCATTGGGAGAAAATGAAATTACCAACATTCCCTTCCCAGGGAGCCCTGTAACTATTCAGAATTAGACCATTTGGTGGGAAATCTCAAATTTGTTATTCTATCCATCAGAGTTTGGAGATCTCTAATTTTATATTTACTTCCAAAACTGGGGACTTCACAGTACCTCCTCTGTTGAGTGAGTCCTTTAGAAATCTCCTTATTAGCCCAAGTCAAACTGAAGAACACAGAAAATCCTGCTGAATATCCCTGCTTTGGAAGGTTCTTGGTTACCTCATGGGTCTCTACTGTCATGTCCTCTCTTAATCTTAACCCTTACTCTTCGCCATGTCTAGCAAATCTGTT